GGGGGGGGGGGGGAAGTCGCCGAGAGTGGAGGCTTCGCGATGGCGAATTGCGCAAGTTAATTTACCTACTGCCGGCGTATTAATCAACCGCGGACCTATAGGCATGAGTAGCAGGCGCGTTCGTTCGAGCCTGGCGGATTTATAGTTTCTAAACTGCGAAAGGGCCGCCGCGGCAGCCCGACGCGAGGATCTCTCCTCCTCGTAGGATCGTAGTAAAAGTACCGGGGAACGGCTGATTGGCTCGATCCGTCCGAGAATGACGGGGGAAGATGACGACCACGGCGGCATGTGCAACGTGGCAAGAAAAGCCTGTCGCGAATGCGTCGTCATTTAGAAGGTCCCGAAGTATCATGCGCGAGATACGGTCGTATAAATATCCGTAAATGTCCGTTTGTTCATGTGCCTACGAGAAAGCAAGAGAAGGAGAGGGAGGGGGGAGGGAAAGGAAGAACGAGAGAGAGAGAGAGAAAGAGCAGCGGGGCTATTAATCATTAAGGATGCCGCGGGCGGTATATGCGCGTACACGCACCGTATACGTGTGTACACGCGCAAATGTACAATAATTGCGTGTACATACGACGGCGACGTGTACACGACGGTAACGGTAAAGGTGTTGGTGCGAACACGACCGACAGGAAAGCCCGAAAGGATACGTACAAACACGCGTGTCGCGAGCGCGGCATGAGTTTTCGTTTCATGGTCGGGGAGATAATCCTTCTCTCTGTCACTTCTCATCTGTCTTTCTGTCCCACCAGCTAATTGAGTTGCCCGGACCCGGCGAGATCTCCGTCACGTTCGTCCCTTCCTGTCTTTCCTTTTTTCATCTGACCGGGGTGGGCGTGGGGGGGAGGAGANCAGGAGAAATCGAGTCGTCATCGTCATTGTCGTCGTCGTCATCTTCTTTTACTTCATCGTCTTCGTCGTTGTTTCCAAAGATACAGCAATACTTTGCTCGCTCAGAAATTCGATTTCGTTATCTGCCAACTACCTGTACGAGGCGGCCGTTACCTGTTGCTTCGATTGTTCTTTCAATGCGTCACACCGAGGAACGTGTCCGATGGTCACTTATAATCTTAGCCGAATCCATAGAAAGTGTCTCCCGCGCGAGTACGTACGTTTTCTTCCGCGTTGGTCTCTCCCTCTCTCTCTCTCTTTCTCCATCTTTCTTTCTCTGAGCGACGACGCGTATGCTCGTGCCTCGTTCATTACACATCTCCGCGCTAATTACGTTTGCCCGGCTCAATGGCCATTACGTGTCACATGCTGCGCACGGAAGACAGATAAGAGGGACGGTTAATCCGTTCACGTCATCATTCAAATGCCCTGAGAGAGAGACGTCCCGAGCGAATTCCTCTCGAACCCGTTCTCTCCGCCGTATCGACGTACCGACAGTGTGCTTGCGCAACTCGCGATAACTTAACGTAACTGATCGTTGAATCTCGCCGGTATGTAACGCGAAGAAATATAGATCATCGTAGCGCAGTTGTACGCGAGAAATCGCCTGCCTCCACTGCGCTATTTCTGAAGACCGATGATGCGTGAATGGGAAGAAAATCGCGAGAGGAAATCGCGTGTCGGTGATAACGATAACAGGCCACCGTTAATAGAATTATTACTATTATTATCGTTATTATGATTACAATATAATATGCATATGATACGCTAAAAGAAATTATAGTTATTTTCGGCCCCAACTAGACCTTTTTTTGGTTTTAACTACAGAAATATAGTAGCAGTAATTACGCATATAAAGTTATCATCATTGACACTATAGTAACATTTACCAGAAAAATGCTTCTCCCGACTACAATTCTTCCACTATGATATATAGTTATGGTATTATAGTTACAAGTATCACCAAATATGCATTTTTCTTTCAAAGTGTAAAATCACTGACGGGATCGTTGCAATTTCAATGTAATTTCTTTTTCTCTTACAAAATCAATCACACAAGTAACTACGAGAATATCCTAAAAATATATGTCCAGCCGTCTGCAAGAAGGGCTGCCATCCGGTGCACGGCTACTGCGAGGTCAGCTACGAGTGCAAGTGCCGGCACGGCTGGCGAGGCGACCTGTGCGACCAATGCACGCCCTATCCGGGCTGCAAGCACGGCTACTGCAACGGCTCGAGCTGGCAGTGTATCTGCGACACCAACTGGGGCGGCATACTCTGCGATCAGGATCTCAACTACTGCGGCACCCACGAGCCCTGCCAAAACGGCGGCACGTGCCTCAACACCGCGCCGGACCACTACCTGTGCACGTGTCCGGACGGTTTCTCCGGACCCACCTGCGAGAAGATCGACAACCCGTGCGCGACCAATCCCTGCCTGAACGGGGCGACCTGCCATGAGCACGGGGAGACGGCGCAGTGCGTGTGCGCTCCGGGCTTTACCGGGCCGAACTGCGCGACCGACATCGACGAGTGCGCCTCGCAACCCTGTCAGAATAACGGCACCTGCGTGGACGGCAAGAACAGCTTCGTGTGTAACTGCCCGCCCGCCTGGCAAGGGACTCTCTGCCAATTCGACGTGGACGAGTGCGCGCTCAAGGAGCCACCCTGCAAGAACTCCCTCACCTGCTCCAACTTGGCCGGCGACTACAAGTTAGTATTCGCTTTCATTTGCGTGCTCTTCGTAATGCCGGTAATTTGATAGTATCGAGATGTCACTCGTTTATCTTAGCGCCAACTGGAAATTTCCAAATTCATCCGCCGGGTGGACGCAAAAATGTGCTTCCTCATTTCAATCCGTCGTCTTCGCTCAAAAATCCCAAACAAATGTTTTGTCATTTGCGTGTCATCAGTGTCATTTTTGTTTCCACGACAAAGAAATGTTTCATCCGGTCCCCAGGCGACGGAAAAGCTCAGTTACACTAACGGAGTTATTTTTTCCGCGCAGCTGCCGGTGCCGGAGCGGCTTCACGGGCAAGAATTGCACGAAGAACATCAACGACTGCGTCGGCCAATGCCAGCACGGCGCGCTCTGCATCGACCTGGTGAACGACTACCACTGCAGCTGCACCGCCGGCTACTCCGGCAAGGACTGCGACGTCGACATCGACGAGTGCGCGTCCAACCCTTGCCAGAACGGCGGCGAGTGCCGGGACCAGGTGAATTCGTACGAGTGCGTGTGCCCGGTCGGCTTCAGCGGGCAGCATTGCGAGATCGACCGCAACCACTGCAGCCCGAACCCCTGCCGCAACTCGGCGCCGTGCTTCAACACGCAGACCGACTACTACTGCCACTGTCCGGTCGAGTGGCAAGGCAAGAACTGCACGGAACTGGCCGCGCACAACCCCGAGTTCGGCACGCCGGACGAGCAGTTCGGTTGCGGCAGCGAGGGCACACCCTGCGGCGGCCGTGGCCGTTGCATCGGCGGCAGATGCACCTGCGACCCGGGCTACACCGGCGTGCACTGCCACGAGAACATCAACGACTGTCACAGCAACCCCTGCCTGAACGGCGGCACCTGCGTCGACCTGGTCAACTCCTTCCAGTGTATATGCAGGGAAGGCTGGAGCGGGGATCTGTGTGATCAAGGTAAGTGGTCTGCAATCTTCGATAGGTGGTCCCCTGGCGCGATAATCTCTGTTAAGCTGGTATCCTTAACGCGACAAGTCGAAATGGAAAAACTGTGTCGGAATTAAGTGGAGATTGGAGAATTTATATACCGCATCCCCGATCGGTGAAAATGGAGCCCCCTCGTCGGATTTATTTTCTCGACGATAAAGTGTCGGGGCTATTCAAACGCGATTTCCCGCTTGAGCAAGATCAACGACGCGAAATGAATACTTCATTCCGACGTGGTTTGAGGTGCTGGCTTAACAAAGATAACATGGAACAAGGAAACTGTTATATTAGAAGGGCGACGCTCGCTTTCAGACGTGGACGAGTGCATGACGCAGCCCTGCCGCAACAACGGTACCTGCGTGGACGGCGTGGCGGACTTCACGTGCATCTGCCGCGGCGGCTGGAAGGGCAAGACCTGCACGTTGCGCGGCGGTCACTGCGAGCCCGGCACTTGTCGGAACGGCGGCACCTGTCAGGATCGCGGTGACAGCTTCACGTGTCACTGCCCGCCCGGGTGGGAGGGCGCCGCCTGCCACATCGCCTCGCCGGCCTGCGCGAGCAGCCCTTGCGAGAACGGGGCGACCTGCGTGAACACCGCGGACGGCAACTACCGTTGCGTATGCCGGGAGGGCTTCGAAGGGCCGAACTGCCGGCGCGACGTCGACGACTGCCAGCCGCTGCCGTGCCTGAACGGCGGCAAATGCGTCGACGGCGTCAACTGGTTCAGATGCGAGTGCGCGGCCGGCTTCACCGGCCCGGACTGCCGCATCAACGTGAACGAGTGCGCGAGCGACCCGTGCATGAGCGGGTCCGTCTGCGTGGACGGTATCGCGAGTTACTCCTGCATCTGTCCACCTGGCCGGACCGGCACACGATGCGAGATCAGGACCGCCGGTGGGCCCGGCTGCATGGCCGTTTCGTGGAACGACGATTGCAACGTGTGCGAGTGCCGGAACGGCAAGAATCAGTGCAGCAACGTCTGGTGCGGGCCGGGTAACTGCCTGAACGGCACCTCCTGCTTAGCCCACGAGGTGTGCGTCCCCAGTCCGGGCGAGAGCTGCTTGGCACCGCCGTGTCCGGCATGGGGCGAGTGTCGGCCGATCGAAACCGGGAGGCGGGTGGGACCGCCGGCGTTGCCGGCCCCTCCGTCCTGTTGGCCCGGACAGTCGACACCGGGGCCAACTTGCTCGAGACTCACGATATTGCTGAGGAGGGACACCCTGGCGGCCGGCACGTCGGTAGAGCTGCTGTGCCGTCGCCTGAGGAAGCTCCTCGCCGATCCGCGCAGGCCGCAGTCGGTGGTGCTGCTCTGCGACTTGAAACCGGGTGACAACGACACGATAGAAGTGACGATCTTCTCCGAAGCGGCGGCTGACGCAGCGAGAGACCTCGGTGAGTCCCTCAGTCGTCCCCTAGCGAGACCTCTCGCTCTGGCCTCCGTGTTGGAGGTCAAAGTAGAGACGGCTTTGCTCAGCGAGCCCAGCTCGTCGGGCTCGAACAACGCCGGCAGCTACGTAGCCGTTCTCGGCGGCGCTCTGGCGGCGATACTGGTGTTGGTGCTGTTCGGCGGGCTCTGGTACCTCAAGTCCGTCAGGCACAGGTCAAACTTGACGGCGACTACCAGCAGCGAGACCTCTTTGCACCGCCATCGCAGCGACCTGGACGAGAAGTCGAACAATCTTCAGAACGAGGAGAACCTGAGGAGATACGCGAACCCGCTGAAGGATCAAGACTCCGGCGAGCCCAGAGTGTCCGTCGTCAGACCGTTGTCGGGTTCTTCGCTCGGCAACTTGACCGCCACCGAGGAGAGCTTGGAGATGGTGTCCGAGGAAGGCAGACATCGCTTGCCGCCGCTCTACAAACCACCCAGCGCCGAAGCGAGGAACAACACGGCTAGTTTCAGCTACGAGGAGGGCGCGCACAAGCCCTACAGCAAGCCCAGACTGCAGGAGCCGTCTTATCCGCATCAGCAGCCAGGCACCAGCCAGACGTCGGGACCGCACCAGGTGCTGACGGTACACGTGTGATCGAGTGCCGTCGAAGTGAAACAGGCGGCGATCCCGAGGATCCTGCTCCCGGATTTCTCCCGCTTGGAGAAACCGTACGGAGCCTACTACGCGGGGATTCTTGGAACGAAGATTCTTAGGGACGATATAAGAAACACGTAGTAACGCTAGACGGGGAGACTAGATTTAACGCCCGAGACTGAGAGTTTACCTGGACGATCTGATTCTTATGTGATAACGGAAACCGTGACCTTTCGATTTCGGGATGACTTTCCGGTGAGTTGGCTCCCCTCTGAGATTACCCCTCGCGATGGCCGAGACGGCGCGTAGAATATACTAGAGATGAACGGGGAGGTATGAAAGAAAAGAGAACGTACTGCAATCAGACTGTTGCTCATGCTGTGCAAAGGGCGCAAATTGCCGTAGCCAATCAAACGTGAAACGCAAATTTAAGCTGGAGAACCAATCGTGATGTCTCTTTGGGTTTTTGTCTATTCCGGGAGGAGACGGAAGTAACCGTGTAACCTGGGTAAAATTCGGACCGAGTAATTAGGATTTCAATCGATCGAATCCTAGTTACTTCCGCTTAGGCCAGATTTACTGTCAGTTCTATCTTTCTTCGGGGCAGATAAATCTAAAGCAATATTCTGATTGGTTCTTCGGCTTAAGTTGTCTTATGGCTACGACAGTTCGTATGCGAAAGCCCTGAGTAACCTTATTACGACATGAGAGAGAAACGCAAACGTTGAATTGTTTTCGCACTATAATTCGCGGTGAACAATCGCTTAAATCGTCGACTTTTTCGCGCGAGAGTATCACAATAACGCGATTCTAGCGCGAAAGATTTTTTCAAATTTGCAAAGTCGCGCACAAAGAAGTCGTTTCCTCTTTCATTCTCCCCACTCGGCCCCCCTTCCCCCTCCCGCACTTGTGCGATATGACAATAAACGATCGATAATTATAAATAATTTTAACGAAGAACGACCAGTTTGTTATATCGTTGTACATATGTACATAACTCGTACTTATTAATTCCGCTAAGTCTGTATCTCCTCCTATCCCCCCCCCCCCCC